GGTGGTGTCCAGTCTCTTTGGAGGGTAATGGCTTGCTTAGTGATGTCTAGTCTGTAAAACGAACTGTGGTGGTGTCCAGTCTCTTTGGAGGGTAATGGCTTGCTTAGTGATGTCTAGTCTGTAAAACGAACTGTGGTGGTGTCCAGTCTCTTTGGAGGGTAATGGCTTGCTTAGTGATGTCTAGTCTGTAAAACGAACTGTGGTGATGTCCAGTCGCTTTGGAGGGTAATGGCTTTCTTAGTAGTGACAATAAGAAAGTTAGTGTCTCGTTGAAAAAGCCACAGAATGCACAATCATAAGTGTCAAACACTGAAGGATTCATCCCTACAAAGGACACAGGCTACCAGATTCTAGTTTACAAGTTTCTGATGCTGCAGGGTATTTTCTTACAAGTTTCCAGGCTACAGGCTGAATTGCCAGAAGTATCTTGGGCTACAGCGTTCACCTTCACTGTTGACTTTATTGCCTTGTGCTGTTCAACGGTCATTTCGATGATCGATTTAAAGGCTGGACATCATTTGTAGGGATATTTACATTGATAATAAATGTTCTTGCACGTACCACCATACTACCTCAGTAGTAGTAACATTCATTATTTTGCTGCTGCTGTTGTCATATCAAACTCATATTTAGCTAGTTATGTTCTGCAGGAGTAATTCAGGGTAAAGCTGCTGTGGATGTTCATAAACATCAATAATGTGTCATTAATGTTCATGACATATGTCATGTCATTCTTATGACGGTTACATGTAGACTGCTTGAAGTAAAGTGTTACCCATTACACACAGTTAGATTTTATTGATAATTATTTGAACTGAAGTGAATCATGGACCGTGTTTCTAGAATGAGAATTTTGAAAAGGAAACATTCTTTTTCAGTTGAAGCATTCACTTTGTTTTCTGAGAAGTTAATGTCATTGAATTTTCTCATGTCTAATTAAACCAACTGAATGTGAAGAGATACATGATCTACATATATTAAAATAATATACTGTATAAGCTATGTAAACTTTTATTAACAAACAACAAGCAATAAACATCTATTTGCTACTTAAAACATATATAATCACATATGGTAAAATTCATGTAAAAGTTTTATATTTCTCCTATAGGCTTTTCCCTTGAGTCCCTTAAACGTTAAGTGTGATTTTTTTTGTATGAATGTGGCCATAATCACACAACATAAAGCACTGACTTGAACCTGTTAAAAACATCAGGTGTTGTCATATATAACTGAAATGTAAAAGATGCTTGATAGCCTTACATGAACCATGCCATTTCTTTTTCCTATGGGACTGCCCATCTCACTCGCGAGGCAGCCTGATTTTTGCCTCTTCCCTGATGCTCACAGATCCTCCCAAGGTCCGGGTGACCCCTGGGGGGGCGGTTAGAGTAATGGTGGGTGAAGCTGTGAACCTGGAATGCCAGGCCTCGGGGAGACCCCGCCCATCTGTCAGCTGGTTCCGCCTGAACCACGACGATGAGACAGTCCTGAGCAGCTCTGCTATGACGGACACCCCTGTGGTGATGCAGGTAGTCTGTCATGGGCCATCAGCAAGCTCAGCAATGTGACGCCAGCCACCCCGAATGATCCTCTGGCACCAGCTGACTAAGCACCACCTCTCTTGTCCCAGGTGGCGTCTGCACGCCTAGAAGACACTGGCGTGTACTTGTGCCGGGCCCAGAGCAGTGAGGGATCTTCAGAAGCCAGGGTGGAGCTGAGTGTTGAGGGCGGGGCTTCTGAAGCCACACCCCCTGTGGCATCTGTGGTTCCAGCTGAGTTGGTGGCGGTAGAGGGGCAGAGCGTAACATTCCACTGCCACGTCAGTGGTAACTACCCCCCAAAAGTAAGGAAATTTCAGGTTTTACCACACTTTGGGGACATTTTGGTCCCCAAATCCCCGCCCCCCAAACCCACATATACACACACAAAACATGCAAATAACATGCACACACACATACATATCACGCATGGTGCCTTAATATGGTGGGAATAATAGCAACCTTAAGAGTTATGATGTAGATCTTGCATTTGATAACTAACATCCTGCTCCAGGCTCCCCGACACCCACCATCTCCTGGTCCAAGTTGCGTGCCCCTCTGCCCTGGCTGCATAAGGTACAGGGGCGGACCCTGGTTCTGCAGAACGTGGGCCGCCAGGACTCAGGCCAGTACATCTGCAACGCCACCAATGCTGCCGGCTTTGTGGAAGCCACAGCCCAGATGGAGGTGGAAAGTGAGTGACGCACCCACAAGGCTACTAGCAGAGACATGCGGCGA